AACCCCGCCGCGCCCATCCACCAACCCCGCGGCGCCCTCCGCTCCGCCACCGCCTCCTCATCCTCTTCTTCCAAATCCATAACCCTCGCCGACCTCGCCGTCGGCTCCACTTGCCGCGAGGTCAGCGACCTCGACCTGCCGTCTGTCCAGTCGGAGATCGAGCTCCAGATGCTCAAGGTCATCAAATCCATCCTCGACGGCAACGGTTTCGCGTTCGAGGTCCCCTCACGCGCCGCCGCTAACCAGCTCTATGTTCCGGAGCTCGACCGCATTGTGCTAAAAGACAAAACTTCCCTCCGCCCCTACGCCAACGTCTCCACCGTCCGCAAGGCCACCATCACAGCTCGTCTTCTCCAGCTGATCCACCAGCTCTGCCTCAAGAACATCCACGTCACCAAGCGTGACCTGTTCTACACCGACGTCAAGCTCTTCCAGGACCAGACGCAGTCCGATTCCGTCCTCGACGACGTGTCGTGTATGCTTGGCTGCACGCGCTCGAGCCTCAATGTCATCGCCTCTGAGAAGGGTGTGGTTGTGGGTCGCCTGATTTTCAGCGACAATGGAGATATGATTGACTGCACGAAAATGGGAATGGGCGGGAAAGCCATCCCGCCCAATATTGACAGAGTTGGTGATATGCAGAGTGATGCTCTGTTTATATTGCTGGTTGAGAAGGATGCTGCTTATATTAGACTGGCTGAGGATCGGTTTTACAATCGATTTCCATGCATTATCGTCACTGCCAAGGGACAGCCGGATGTTGCAACCAGGCTGTTTTTGAGGAAGATGAAGCTGGAATTGAAACTGCCGGTGTTGGCCCTTGTGGACAGTGATCCATACGGGCTGAAAATTTTATCTGTTTATGGTTGTGGGTCGAAGAACATGTCGTATGACAGTGCCAATTTGACGACGCCGGATATAAAATGGTTGGGGATACGGCCCAGTGATTTGGACAAGTACAAGATACCGGAGCAATGTAGGTTGACAATGACTGATCAGGATATTAAGACAGGGAAAGAAATGTTGGAGGAAGATTTTGTGAAGAAAAACCCGAAATGGGTTGAGGAGCTGACTCTTATGGTGAAAACCAAGCAAAAGGCAGAAATTCAAGCTTTGAGCACATTCGGCTTTCAATATCTCTCAGAGACTTATTTGCCGCTAAAACTGCAGGAGCAGGATTGGATATGATCCATGGGTTGAGTTTGGTGGAAGTTTTGTGGAGGTAAGCAAGTCATGGATTTACTCACATTTGGCTATGAAGTGCTGTAATATCTCTTCAATTGTTCAATTGTAAGGAAAAGGAATGAAATGAATGAACAAAAATTTCGCTACTTCGATTCGGCTTGGATGAAAAATTTGTGTTTCTTAGGGGATTGCAAGTTTGGAAATTAGTTGAGGCATTTCTATTCAGATTATGGAAACGCTACAATCTATTTCAGTTGTGAACTTAAGGGTATAATAGTATAACACAAGGAAAATTGCTTTATTTTCATTGCTTCTGCAAATTAAATTTGCCCTGTTGTATATAATTTACATGTGACACCGGTACGATACAGGCTTATTCCATGTTAAAGTATACACGAGGAAAAATAATTATCGATTATTTAGTAGCATGTACAAATTACTGATGAAGCAGTCACCTTCTAGGAGCACTTCTTCTCCGCAGCCAATGTTGCAGTGATCCCCTGGTTACCTTTAGCCTTTCTAAAGGCATGGGTCTTCGCGTGGAATAGATCAACTCTGCGGGTAGTTCATCCCTCCCTGACATTTCTTCTAAATCTTTATCTGAATCAGTAGTGTTCCCTGGTTCTATTGTAGTATCAAGTCCAACTTTAGCTCCTGTTGCAAGAACCTTGAGCCCCAATTCATCCTGCAGAAGTTTGGTTATTGCATCTTTCACCTCTAAATTTTGTGTGGTTGAGCCTCCATCAACCTCATGGACTCCTACGACGATCAGCATGTCATCTTTTACGGAATGTCCTGTAACCATCAGTAAGTCTTAACATCAGCATGAAAATTAGAAACTCTGGATCCTAAGCTTCTTCTTCCTTTTATCATTTGCTTATGTATTTTAAATCTGATTTTACCCTTTCTTAAATATGTTTGAAGAAATGGCTTCTCAAATAAGATAAAGGCATCTGAAATGAATGCTTCGTAAAGCAATATGTTCATACCTAAGGTATAGTTCTCTTTGATCATTCGTAGAACTGCAAGAACAACGATCCGAGCTTCAACCTGTTAAAAAGAGGATATTAGCATGAGCAAAAAAATAGATAAAAAGTGCGCAGACACAATCGCATAATAACAAGTTCGCCGAGACTGGTATTCTCAAAACATGTAGAATACCTTCGTCAGTCCTTGAAGGTCCACTGCTAAGGTCTCAGCAATATGCGTTTGCAAATGTTCTGCAACTTTTTCAAGCAGCGGACTTCCAGGTCTCCCGATGTCAGTTTTGTTGCATGAACTAAACTCTTCTTGTTTGGCGTTGCTGTCTTGTATAACTCCTTCACACCACTCCTCAATTAGTTGCTCGAGGTAATAATCATTAGATTTGTAACTGCAAAGTAAATGCGTAATTAGTCAAATGTAGATGTCCATGAGAAACTAAAATATATGCTGATAAATATATACCCTGCTTTCCGCATATCCTGGTATATAGCCAGGCATTGTTGTACTTCGCTCACAGAACCATATCTGCTACGAGCCCTCAGAAGTGTATTATATGTCACCTGGAAAAGGAAAATAAATATAATTTTAAAAAATAATCATGGATTTACAAGTTGAATTGATCGAGAATGCCTTTATAAGCAGAATCATGACTTGGTAGTTATATGGAATTATTTGTAATTCATGCGAATGTGTTAAGATTTATAATCTGAAATTATAACCATTAATTATTGATGCTCACCAAATTTGGGTGTATCTGATACTTTTTCATTTCTGCAAACAGTGACAATGCTAGCTCCAAATTTTCATTTTCCACACATACCTATGAACCAAAGGATGTGTTTTATCAACATCTGGGGCAAATAAATAATGCAATTTTGCAGCTAATTAAGCATAGGTGGGAAGAGCAGTGGTTACAAAACAAGATTAATAGTGAATCAGGAAAGCTTTTAAACCTTGATAGCTGTTGTATATGCAACAACATCAGGTTTCATCCCAGCTGCACGCATATTTTTCAGAATCTGCACTGAAATAAAAATTTATTAACGTTTTCCTTGAACTTGCATATTCATCAAGATTTTGTACAATGACATCAAGAAAAGGGGGAGCCAAAAACACAAAATTATGTTAATCTCTAAAGAAAAGTTTTCATTTATTTATCACAAGAAAATAGGATTATTCTCAGTTCATTTCCCTGACACAAGATTCACTGATGCTAGGTTAAAAGCTTTTTGACCTCCAAGAAAGTAATGAATTTCAGTGGCATCGTCAGAAAACTTCCTGATGTATGAAGTGCAAGATATGATTACAAACTTGTACATTATCCAAATTTAACCAGTGATAACCATAACTTTTCAAAGGATATTTACCTGGAGTTTTGGTTATGAAAAACTGTGTAGGCCGAACGAAAATTTGAACAATGCAAACAGAACTATCAAAGATTAAGTTAACCAAATTTATGTCTTACCTGCAAGGCACCCTCAACATTTCCTGAGCCTCCACAGATATCAGCCAAAATTGACCAGCTTATTTGATTAGGATAAAGACCTACTGCTCTCATCTCATCCAATAATGCTTTTGCATGGTAGTAGTCAGTACCACAGGCCTTCATCAAAGTATTGTATGTTGTAGTTGTGGGTTTAAAAGAAAGCCCTTTAGCAAAGTTTAGATGACATCAGATTAGAAGTGGTACGGCATAGTGGTAATCCAATGTACATAAGTACGCTCCACTCAAACTGCTATACCTTTGTACTTTTTGCCAAAAGTCTCCTGGACTTTAGTGCTCTTCAAAGACTGGAAAAGGCGAAAAGCCCTATCATACTGGTTAGCCTCAACACAAGCATGTAGAAGGATGTTAAAACACTGTGAATTAGGTTCAGAGCCAGCCAGAAGCATCTCTTCAAACAATTGGATTGCCTTCTCAACAATACCTGCATTTGCACAGGCACTGATCAATGACGACCATGTAACTGTATTAGGCGTAACACCGGCTGATAGCATGTCTTCTTTGACGTTTAGAGCCATGTGCCACAATTTTGCATCTGCAAAGACCTGGATAATTGGTCATCAGTTATGCACATAGTAAAGTGCCTCCCTACATGGAAATTCATTGCTACTAAGTACAAATTGAAGCAAAATAGGATCTATGTGTATATGTCTGCATATTACTATCAAAAGCAAAAATATAATAACTCATAAGCAAATTCATATTTACCTTTACAATAGTGCTGTATGTGAAGACATCCAATTTCAACACTCCTGTTGATTCCAAATGCTGGACTTCCCTGTAAATATCTTGTGCCAAATCAACTCGTCCAGTAAGACAGCATGCCTTCAAAAGGATATTATAGCATGGCATATCTGCTTTGATACCAAGATTCTAGACAAAGAAAATAAATAGATTTAGATAGTTGTAGCTTGATCATTACAAACCAATTATGCATTCAAACCGATTGCCACAAGCAAAACATAGTGCCAAAATTGATCTATTGAGTAACATTGAAAGAAAAATATTATATGTGCAGTAGTATAAATGAGAGAGAGAGAGAGAGAGAGAGAGAGAGCATTACTTGCATACTCTTGTATACATGAAATGTGTAGTTCAAGTCATGTGCGTTCACATTCATGAGACTGTTGAAAACATAAATATTCGGGGTAACCTTCTGTTTGAGCAAGTCCTGCAGCAAAAATAATCCGGAAAGAAGATCCCGAGTTTTAACCTCACGACTGCATTAAAGTTATGGAAATGTCTAAGGATTTATTTTGGCAATGTATATGGCGATGTTTTCTATTTTGTGTTTTTACTAGGAAGTAAGGAGATGAAGATGATAGAGAAACTGAAGAAAAATACATAAGATATTTTATAAAACTAAAATTAAAAGCAATAATAATTTTTAAATTTTAGTTTGAAGGAAAGTGTTCCATTTACCATATGCCACCCGATAGAGCTCATAATGAAAACAGAGATATTTAAAAACTCAGTTCCGAGCTATAGGAAAGTTCATTATTATCTGAAAATTTAATCAAGAAAAACAGTAGCAAACAACAAAGGCAGTCAGGGTGGTATATACCTCATAGATGTACCTAGATTTCATGTAGTCTTTGCAGAGACCACATACATCAATTATTGTACGGTAGACATACATATTTGAACCATTCAAGTTTTCCTTGGATGCTTCATATGCTGCCAAAGCAGGCTCCAACGCCTTTCTCTTTCCAAATTCATATATAATGTTACAGAATAATACATGCGCATGTGGAAAAATACAAGCATACCTGCAAAATGTGATAACCAAACTAATGAAGAAAAGAATGAAGATTCAGTGTGACCGAAACATTAACTGAGACTATAATGAAGAAACTGCGTTACAGAAGAACAAGAAAAAAGTTCTTTTGAAACTCACTTAAAAGAACATGTCTGAGCAATGCAGAACAGATACGAGAAGCCCTCAGACCAACTCATAAGAGAACAGTCAAATATACCTTATGGCCAATTTTGGGCAACATTTATCAACACAAAGTTTGATAACTTCAGATGGCTCCAGCAGTTCTTTGATTGGGAAATGAAAACCTGAACCAAGTATTATCTGTTACAAATCCAAGGAGTCTCAAATTCTCTACCATGGCTCATCACATTATTATTCTTTCAAAACTGAAATTCTCATGAAACATTAGATTCTTCCTCTCCCATTCACACAACAACAAACTAAGGATCATATTTTTAACATTTTCGACAGCCCTTTATCTAAAACCCAACTTAAAATGCCTAAAGGAAGTAAAAATCTTCTTATATTATATATATGGGTAGAGTCAAATATATGTAATGCACTCCAAAGTTGGGTTACTTCACCATTTCTCTAACAATTTAAAATCTTTGAACATAAAATCAGGACTGGACTACAAATTAGTACAATGCAGGTTTATAACGCAATACATTGAACAAACAAATCACGAAAATAACAGAAAATTACCTGCAAGAACCTCCATGAGCTCAACAAGTTCCTGCACTTGCTTACATTTCAAAAGCTGGCTACACTGCCTTCCCAGCAACTCCATAGCGTACCCATCAAACAGCTTCAATGGCGGAACCCCAAGCTCGTTAACTTTCCCCAACACCTCAACGACACTCCGGACATTTCCCGCTTTCAAAAGCCGCGAAATGCCCTTCGCCACAAGCTCAACTTTGAGCGCCGCTGTGAACTCGGAGCCTCGGACACCCGAAAGCACGACGCTTTCGACAACCATAGCGAAATCTTGGAACTTGCCGTCTCTGGCGAGCTTGGAGGCGAGGTCGGCGAAGTAGCTGAGGTGCTTTTTGGTGGGGTCCCATCGGACGGCTAAGAGGGGAGTGGGGCGGGAATGGACGGTGGAGATTGGAGGAGAGGATTTGGAGGGAGATAGCTTGGGAAGTGATAAGGGTTTGTCTTTATAGAATTTGGTGGAGTGGTTGCTGCCGTGGGGATTTGGAAGAGTGGCAATGGAAGATGAAGAAGAAGCAGAGTAGCCAAGGATGATGAACTCTCTCATTCCTTGAGCTAAGGCCGAAACCGTTATGTTTTTTTGGTTGGGATGGGGTTTTATATGGGTTTTTGAGGATTGGATTTGAAAGGCCGGTATTTTTGTGGGAGATTTCGTCAATTTAAACGGATTTTCAAAGGCCATGGGATGATTCTATTTGAACCATTGAACTTGGCTAGATGCACCTTAGAAAAAATTGATTTTTTTTTTTTTTGCTTATTTAAAGTTTAAATTTATAGAGTAATTATTATATAATATTGTAGTATGGTCACGGGTGACGGGTTGACATTTCTTGCCTGTAAGAGTGATTCCACTGATGCGCCTAAGGGGAGGGCTAATCTTGTTTCCAGCGGCAAGGGCTAGCTCTGGCAGGAGATGGGGCTCACGAACCCAGGCTAGCCCTCAGGCAAGATTTGCCTTAGTTCCAATCTCAGTTTGCTGAAGTCAGCAACAAAAAAAATTAAACAAAATCTTAAAAATTTCAAATTTTTTTTAAAATTAAATACTTAGTTGTAGTTTTCACTTCCCATGTTGAAGAATATGAGTTTCACATTGGAAACTTGACTAAATAAAATACAATATATAATGAATGGTTTCACTACTAAAATCACTGAGGCTTTTTGTGATAAAACCTCACACCTATGGGCTTTATCGGTGGTTAAGTTGGGGACAATATCAGTGTTGTTAGTAGTGGGCCAATGACCCGTTTCTCTGAATTTAACATCCCACACCAAAATTCTATACAAATTTCTCTCATCATATCTCATGTGAATAGTTGTTGCCATGACAATTGATGGAAACACCACAACCTTTTGCAAGGGCAACCACTATTCATGTGAATAGTGGCTTCCCTAACCACCCCTTGCCATGGCAAAGAGCAAATGAGTGGAATTGCTCTAAATAAACATTCACTTACATGAATACATGGGCGAGTTATCCACGTAATTGTATTATAGTACATATACATATACCATATACATGTATGTGGGTTATATATATTGTGAAAAGTGTTGGAGTGTGTATACAAGCGAATCAAAGGCTGAAGTATTTTTTATTAGGAGTAATGCTACACTTACCACATTTCTATACCACATGATGTGGCATGTCCATATTATATGACACATCAATTAAATCAATGAAGTGTATTTTAATTAAGACAATTAAAAAACAAATACTAGAATAAATCATAAAAGAAAAGAAAATATTAAATAATTTTAATTGACGTGGTTGTCCACCTCAGCTGCCACATAAGATGGTATAGGGATGTGATATACAAATGTTGTAAGAGTAGCATTATTCTTTTTATTAGTTATGGGAAAAAGTAAGGGCTGAAGTTGGTGACCGTTGAGTCATAGCTTTTCTATTTATGGTTATTCACTATTTCATGTAAGTAACCCTTCATTGTCGTGTACATATACATTTACAATCTTTGAGATAATGACATAATTGAGATATTGGAGGAAACTAAAATGTTATCGCTATAAATTCATTTGAACACATATACATGTTTGAGTGACATGTTAGTATATAGTTTCATAATTTAATGCAATGGTAGAGTGCAATGAAAGGAAGGTTAACCGAGGTTGTAGGTCTTTTCTTAATGTGTAATTCTACAACCATCAATATTAATGACGCTTAATTTTTGTTTTGAAAGTCATATATAAATATAATAGATTAAGCAATTTGTTTTGTTGTTTAATAAATACACATAACAAGCTAAACAATGGTAAACAATTTTTGACCTCTTCGTTGTGCTTATAATTACGTTGGTACTTTTATTCAGCTTGCATATTATGCTACATTATATAGATATGTTTTGGAGGTCCAATTCCTCTACAATTTTTTGAGAATTTTTACACGTTAATCCTTTAGGGTCAAAATTCCGAATTTTCTGAAACTCATGACATTAATCCAGAAAGAGTGAAATAATAGCTTTTATCAACATATTGCAATGGTCTGATCCCTCTATTTCAAATAAAAATAGTGCTAAAATCAGTCGCTCATGCAAATCCCGAAAAGAAAACGTTATTTGGTATGTTATAGTGAAGAAACGACTCGTAGTTTATTTCCCCTTAATGTCAATAGACCAACATTTTTTGCGCGTAACTACCACGTGGCGCCAATTTGGCGAAAAGCGGGAGAATTACACAAGGGTAGACCCACGAGCTCCACAATAAGCCTGCACGTCGAGTACTTCCAGGGGTAAATCAGGAAATACACATAAGGGTAAGCTTCTGGACCGTCTCGTCCAAATTCCTTAACCAGATTACCAGACCGGTGTCAGCGACATCATTTCGGAATCGGACGGAGGAGATCAACAAAAAGGTTTTCCGAAATTTCGGAAGCGAAATATTTGATGCCGATGAGAGATGCCGCCGAAGCAGCAATCGAAGGCCGATTTGGCGAAGAAGCAGAAGATCGTAGAGGACAAGACCTTCGGGCTCAAGAACAAGAACAAGAGCAAGAATGTCCAGAAGTACGTTCAGACCCTCAAGCAGTCCGTCCAGCCCCAATCCGATCCTTCTAAGACCGCTGCTAAGGTCCCATGTCTCCATCTTTTCTTTCGTTGATCAATATTTATTCGCTTGATTGGCTGATTAACTTGATTTATTTTTCAATTTTTTGAAGGGAAAAAAAAAGAAAAGGAAACTTGATTTTGTTTTTCTTGTTTTGATCAATACAAGGAAAATTTAGTTAAGAATTAGAAAATAGAATTTGGATTCAGCATCAAAATTTAGAATTTTCATGGTCATGATAAATTTTTCATCTTACATAGATGAGTTTGAGACTTTGGCTTCTTTTAAATGGTAAAGTATCTATTTTGCTTCATAAATGAGAGAAATTTTGTTTGTGAGACGTGTATTATTTACAGAAAAAGAAGGAGGAAGAGAAGGCTAAGGACAAGGAACTGAATGAATTATTTAAGGTTGCTGTTAGTCAACCAAAAGTACCAGTTGGTAAGTGATTGTGTTCCCTTTTTAGTGACCAATTGATTGACGTTTTTGATGCGTATGTCCTGTTGAAACTTAGATATGATATAATGCTTAATGGGTATGTGTTTAGGTGTTGATCCCAAGTCTATACTATGCGAGTTTTATAAAGCGGGGCAGTGTGCAAAAGGTTTCAAGTGCAAGTTCTCCCATGATTTGAATGTTCAGAGGAAAGGAGAAAAGATTGACATTTACAGTGATAAACGTGATCATGGTACAATGCAGGAATTCTACTTTACAGTGGTGCTTGATTTATAATGCAATTTTTTTTTTCTTTTTGTTTGTTTTGTTTCGGAGTTTTATTTTTTTTATTTTTATTTTTATTTTTATATATAAGACACGATGGAGGAATGGGATCAAGAGACTTTGGAGAAGGTGGTGGAATCAAAGAAAAATGAATACCAGCAGAACAAACCGACTGATATTGTAAGTTATCTCCAGGGCAGTCTGTACAATATGCTTTCAAATTCTCAGCTTCATACATGCTTATTGAATATAGACGTTCGAACCATCAATGTGCTCGGTAGACTTCTAAATGAATTTTTGTTTTGTTTTTGGATATATGTGCAGGTTTGTAAATATTTTCTGGAAGCAGTGGAGAAGAAACAATATGGTTGGTTTTGGGTCTGCCCCAATGGTGGTAAAAATTGCCATTACAGACATTCTCTTCCTCCAGGATATGTTTTAAAGTCTCAGATGAAGGCTCTATTAGAGGAAGAGGCTGAAAAAATACCAATTGAGGAGGAGATCGAAAATCAGGTTATTTGAACAAGCCTTTACGTCAAGTCATAGCATTTACATTTTGATTGTCTGAAGGAATTGGGGTTTGTCATTGGTATCTTCCTTATATTTTTCACCTAACCAATTAGCTGTTTGGTTTTAGCGTGCTAAAGTGACGACTTCAACTCCTATGACTACTGAGTTGTTCATGCAATGGAAGAAGAAAAAGATGGCAGAAAGAGATGCCGGTTTGGAGGCACAAATGGCAGAGCGGGCTAAAAATGACCGTATGAGGTGTGTTCTCTTTCCCATGTTCTCCAATATGCGTTCACCCCGACCAGTTACTAACTTTTTGGATATTGTTTACTGATTGTGTGTCCCTCCCTTGCAGTGGCCGTGAGCTATTTTTGTCAGATTCTAGCATATTTGTGGACGATGTTGAGGCACATGAGAAGTACCAAAGAGATCAAGAACCTCCAGTTGCTGAACAGAAGGTTAGGTTTATTTTCTAATTTTTATGGTGATGAACAGATGGTTAGTTTTCACTTATTAGTTGTCACCCTCTTTTTTTCCCCATCTCATAAATGCATAACTGGATGTAGTGTTATAAGATAGAAGTGCTTGTGCCTGCTAAAGCTAAAGATTACTGTTTCTATGTTATTGTCCATGAATGCCTGTGAGGAGTTCAGGTTGCTTTTCCATGGCATGCTAATATGTGACTAGTACTGAACTGAGTGGACTATATGTTAATTGTTTCACTCGTATTTTATTTGGTTCAACTTCAGGTCAGTGCCAATTCTAACGGAGATAGGCCAAGTGACTCAGCAACTGCTGGCGGTGGTGCCAAAGTTACCAATGATGATGATGATGACGAACTGGACATAGATGAGTTAAACGAGTTAGAAGCAAGCTTATCTAAGGTAACAATTCAGGAGCCGGACACTGCTGCTTAATCGAAGAGAGGCAATCTAAAGTCTGCATCCATTTGTTAGTGGACTCGGTGTTATGGACTGTAAACTTATGGCCCCCTCAATGATGGCAACCTCTCTGATGTTGCCCAAAAAGTTATAAAGTTCACCCATAATTGATCATACTGTCCTTACGGATCATTAGGTGCTTTTGTGTAATATCTACTTTTCCATGGAGGATTGTCCCATACTCGAGGACGTAAAAATAATCGTTGCCTTGTAATTTACCTGAGCATCATAGGATGCAAGTGATGTCTCCTTTCAGTTTATGCTATTTTAGTTAACGATGTCAAAGCATGTGAGCAACGTTTCACTTGAGATTATGCTAGTCAAGTGCTAGGTCTTGTGCTGCCAGATGCTTGGTACTAATCTCCCTTATGGGGTGATATGGTTGCTTGTTCGGCTTCATTTGGTCTCAACAACCAAGAATGCGGGCGAGCGAATCATAAAGTTCATAAAGTTGCACCACTCGATCCACCATGACGGATTAATCCTCTTGGACGTGAATTACATGTTACTTTGAGAGGTTATAAGTTCTGCTATAAACAGCTCAACAACCAAGAACGCAGGCGAGTGAATCATAAAGTTCATAAAGTTTCACCACCCGATCCACCATGACAGATTAATCCTCTCGGACGTGAAGTACATGTTACTTTGAGAGGTTATAAGTTTTGCTATAAAAACAGATGAGTCTTAACTCCAATGGTAGGAACTTACTCTTGCGTCCACGGCAAGGGTTGGACTTTCACCCTCGGCGCTCTCTAAACTCTCATCCTCCTTTGAGCAAATAAAGAGAGACAAAATCAAGCATCTGTTATGTGGTTCCACAAGTACCACAAAGATTAAGCAATCAGCATTTCGTGTCGGCTAAAGTGACCAACAAAGGGATATATAAATCCAAATAACCGTGTGAAATGATGTGTAAATCCAAACGACCCTGCCTAACATAAAGGTTCCATAGCCATTAAGGGAACCAACACACATCTCTCACTCTTTTGTGTTCCATCAGAGCCTAACATGTCGCATCGAATGTGGGGCAAAGACAGCTTTGAAAAATCCAACAATTAATATGATAATAAATTACCAAGATACTTGTTAAGTGCATAATCATTTTGTTTTTGAACACTAGCATGGACATATTGATATAAGCCCTGCATCAGCGGCATGACGCCATGAAAATGTGAAACAGAGAGCTTTATTGGGTTCATGAACCTTCTGAGGGGGGAGAGGGAGGGGGGATTAATGATCATTTGAAGGACCAATTTACACGTGTTCATTTTCTAACATTGCAGAATTAAAACAGCCATCTGAATAACTGGTGGCTTAATATTATTCCATCTTCACGCAAGATTGATACAATAAGCAAAACCAGGGTATAATGAAGGAAACAGATTCGATAAACTAAAATATGGCATGTTTACTTACTTGGAATCGGTATTGGAATTTTTCTAATTCCCTAACTTCGTATGTGTTTACTAACACATATACACAGGTATTAGAATTTTTCGAATTCATGGTTGCTTGGGGAAGTAATTGATCCCATACTCATTCTCTCTTTCCTATCCCCTATTCATGACTTCCCCGATTCATAATTTCTCAATGTATTCCCTTGCGTGTAAGGATGTCTATAATCAAACAATGACAAGGATATTTTTAATATGTCAAATAATAATAATAATAATAATAATAATAATATCTATGATATCTGCATCATTGTCGTATCGGATTGAATTATAACAGTTACGAGCATTACAAACATTCTGGGTTTAGGTCAAGAAAACAATTAAAGAAAAGATTGATGTGCTGCATGAAATTTTAAGCAAGCTCAAAAGTAGGTAAACCTGCAAAGACATTTCTGGTAAAGCCAACAATATGAGCTGAGCTCCATAGGTAAGCAACAGGGTAAGCAGTAGTTTGAACTTTGAACTCCTCAACTCATGCAGAAAACAAAGAGTTGATCGTGACCGATTTCTTGTTGTACAATCTTCTTATAAGAAGGACATGTAATAAATTTGAAAAGAGTGAGAAGAAAAAGAAAAGTTTATTATGATAGGATCAGTACATCAAATTAAAAGCAAACCCCATTAGACACGCCTCATACATTTTTAACAGAAGGGCATGTGCTACTCTCCATAGGTATATATATAAAATAGAAGGTTAGATGAAGGAGTTGAGAGGCAATATTGGAGAGATGGATGAGGCTTGTGGAACTTGCTTCCATTGCAGCTAAAGACATCAATGCTGATATGAACTACAAGCGGTTTGATCGCTATTTCTCGGGCTGCATAGGTGCCTGCGCTTCCTGCGTTGCCACCTTTCTATGGCGGCTCAGCCCTCTCCCAACTCTTGAAGCTACTCCAACCAACAACTTGACAAAACTGGATATTATCTTAACTTTGATCTGGCCTCTCTTTGGAGGAAGCCTGGCCTTGCTTGTGTTTGAAGGCTTGGCTTGTTCAATAGGGAGAGCCATTTGTTTTGGAATATGAGGAAGAATACAATAACTGAAAGAGCCAATGTTTTGTTTCCAAGTACAAAGAAAATGGGAATGAGACAGCTTTTTATAATGTTGAAGTGGATAGAGTGAGTGCTGAAGGAGAGGCTGCTAAGGCATTATTTATCTATTATTGTGAGTTCAAAACGCATGCATGATTAGACAATGCACTATTTTACAAGATTAATTTAAATTCCATTTAGTATTTTAATCTCAAATTTTCATAATTAAATATAGAGATTGCTTCCAAAAGTGAATCTCAAACTCAGTCAAGCTCAATTCCCCCACAAAAATTAGTGACATGTCACTCAAAATCTGATGTCAACTACTGCAAAACTTTCAAATGATGATGCGTTGCTTGCTCTGTTTTAATTGGGTTAATCATGTTCACATTCTCCACAAATACACAAAAGAAGATAGAAAAGCTAGTTAAAATATAGTGCTTATGTTATCCTTTTTAAGCTTCTAGGTCCAATCCAAGATTACAAAGTCAAGCAAGGAAAACAGGAAAATAATAAATTAGATGAGATAAAAGACTGGCTAAAAGATTCAAAGCCAAGGATTCAGTCAAGTCCATGGTCTTCAAATGACCAGGCAAGCAATAAAAAAAAAACATTGAACATAAATCTTTGTGGCCAAGTCTGGACCTGAAATCTCCACTGTCCCCTTTGAAAAGGACTTGAAAAAGCTTTGCTGGTGCAAGGAGCAGACAAGCCTTAACAGATGTCCTCTTCTGGTGAAGGGGCCACAAAAAAGTGGGAGCATAAGCATGGAGATCAAACATGTAGAATAACTACACCAGGTTTTGCTTAGGCTACAAAACTTAATGGCAAACTTGTTGATGACTTATGGGGTTTTCTGGTTCTCTCATTTTAAGCTGAATATAGACATAATAATTATCCACAATGGCAAAGGCTTATGATAAACACCAACAGTTGGGTTTTCTGATTGTTGCAAATGATAGAAGTGGGTTATATGCATGTGTTTGTTGCTTTTGTTTGTCTGTCTGCTTTTTCTTCTTCTTTAGAGGACTGTAGTTCGGCACTATAAACAATTATCAGTTACTTTGAAAGAATGGAGAAGCATATTTTGATGTAATCTTGACCTTAAATTCCTTCGAATTGGACATATCAAGGGCAATCTGATTCTTAGGCCCGTTTGGAAGTGATTCTGGGAGGGCAAGAATATGGGGAGAAGAAGTTATTATTGGCCTATCTAGAATCGCTCTTCAAACAAGCCCTTATAATCGACATCAATGTTGTACAGGAATGTTTCTGTTCTCTGCAAATGAAAAATTAACGATGCTTGGGATGGATAGGAATTAACAACAACTGGATAAACAAGAACTTGCATTTATTTATAACAAGTCACATTGTTAGAATTTCATCCCAGCAGCAATTTCCTCACAAATGCCATCATATATTTACAACATTGTTTGGTTGGAGTTTTGAAATCACTTAACTGGTGCAATAATGGTATAAACCAAAAGGAAGGTGACAATGACAATAGCCCCTGCAAGAGTGAACCTGGGGCTAGTCCATAACATGAGGTTGGACCTCTCTGTCCTCTTGATTGGATCAACCTCCTCAGATGGTGGGTAATTAGACCGAGTAGGGTTCCAGGTCACATACTTGTTTGGAGAGAACTGTGAGAAGAAGCTCTTCTTCTTCTTCTTCGTTTTCCCTTGCTTTCTGATATTTGACCAGGCCTTGTCCCAATCTGTTGAGAATTTATCACCTGAGGTGTATGTTGATCAACATTGAACTATATGGTCAGTTTAATCATTAGACACACCAAAATAACCTCTATCCGTACTTGTTCAAACAACGGGAGATGATGAGTGATTCAAACTTTTTCTAGTATTGGAAAAAAGAAACAAAGAGCATTATACATAGGAAAAGTTTTAAGGTGAGACGGTCATATATGTCCTCTGTTTCACATTTACCCATCACGTGCTGCTTTCAAGCGATGGGTAATGCGAAACTTTCTCGAGTTAAACCCTCCCTCCTTTAATCACCTTGTAAAATTACTTGGTAAGACATAACATCTCACTACCATTATGCATGAATGAAACCTTCAAGATTGAAATTCACTAAAATTCACTAATAACCTTAATTAAAACTGGTAAACACCAACTCATCCAATCCAAGTGCCAAGTGATGAGTTGGTGGGAAATCCAAAACAATTAGAAGCACATCATCATAGATGAAGCTCAATTTTACATCCAAACACTAACATTAAAAAATAATAATAATTAAGAAAAAAAAAACAATTTAATTAGTTAGAAACGTACCATTGGAGTCACCGTTTTGTTGGGGCTCTTGAGAGTCCCTTCTTGAACAGAAAGGTTTCAGTGGCGAGTAACAAGAAGAAGAAGATGATGATGATGATGATGAAGAAGAGTTATGCTTTCGAGTGGTCCAGAAATAACGTGAGGATGTTAAGCTTCCTGTTCGAGCTTGAATATCCATTTGCACATCCCAAACCCAAACCAAAGAATATTCCAATCCAAAGTAATCCCGTGCTAGCTACTGCTGATGATCTCGTGGCGCTAACATTTCCGTACGGTCTTATCACACTGGGAGATTGCCCAGCCTCTAATTCTCCATCGCCTTCTCTCACTTTGACACGTGTCCCAATGTTACCTGGCTTTCAAATTTTCTTTATATATATATATATATATATATGGACACTGCTTCTCTCCTTACATTACATCAAAAGCGACATTCCTACTTTCTGCAAATCAAAGTTTGACACATATGCAAAAATAATTCATCAAAAAACACAAAAATAAGCATCTCAGCA